GTTAGTTTTTGAATGTAGTGTGAGATAGGGATCCAACTTTGTTCTTTCGAAGGTGGACATCCAGATGTCCCAGCACCATTTGTTGAAAAGACTGTTCTTTCCCCATTGGATTGTCTTGGCACCTTTTGTGAAAATCAAATTGACCATAAATGGGGCAGTTTATTTCTGGACTCTGAATTCTATTCTGTTGATCTGTGTACATGTCCTGTACTTATATTAGTGCCACTTGTCTTAATTACTGTAGCTGTGTAGTAAGTTTTGAAATAGGGAGTGTGAGTCTTTCTACTTTTTCTTTTTCAAGATGGCTGTTCTGGATCTTTTGCATTTCTATGTGGAATTTAGGATCTACTTGTTGATTTTTGTCAAAAAGCCAGTTGGGATATTTGATAGGGATTGCCTTGAATCTTGTAGATCAATTTGGGAAGTATTGCTGTCTTAACAGTGTTGTCTTTCAGTTTATGAATGTGAGATGTCTTCCCATTTGTCTTTAATTTCTTTTTAAAATGAAAAACATTGGCATAGTTGTACATATTTTGGGGGTACATGTGATATTTTGTGTATACAATGAGTGATGATCAAATCAGGGTAATTGGGATATCCATCACAAGTCTTTAATTTCTTTCAAAAATGTTTTGGAATTTTCACTGTATGAGTTTTGTATTTCTTTTAGATTTATTCCTTGTATTTTAATATTTTTTGATGCTATTATAAATGAAATTATTTTCTTAATTTCACTTTTAGATTTTTCATTGCTGGTATATAGAAACACAACTGATTTTTGTATATTATTTTTGTTTCCTGCAGCCTTGCAGAACTTGTTTATTCTAATAGTTTTTTAGTGGATTCCTTAGGACTCCTTTTAGTGGATTCTGTATACAAGATCAAATCATCTGCAAATACAGATAGTTTTTACTTCTTCCATTCCAGTCTGGATGCCTTTTGTTTGTTTTTCTTGCCTAACTGCCCTGACTAGAATCTCTGGTACAATGCTGAATACAAGTTGAGTAAGAGACGTCCTTGTCCTTCCCGAGGTTAGAGGGTAAGCCATTCGGTCCTTCCCTGTTAAGTGAGATGTTAGCTGAGGGTTTTTATAGATACCCTTTACCAGGCAGGAGAAGTTCCCTTCTAGCCCTAGTTTGTTGAGTGTTTTTTGTTATGAAAGAGTGTTGGATTTTTGTCACATGCTTTTTCTGAAATAAATTACTTTTTAAAAATGACTATTGCTCTTGTTTTTTTATCTGCAGAACTTGACTTGCATACCAGATGTGTGGTGGACGTTGATGCAAACAAGGTTATTCTTAATCCTGTAAACACTAATCTTTCCAAAGGAGATGCCCGGTAAGTTAAGAAACTATGTCGTACTCGATGGATCTTTAAATACCCGGAAGCGGCAGTGGCTGCCGAATTCAGTTTAGTTGAACAGATGTAGCGAGCGCTTACTCTGCAGAGACAGATTGCTGTCTTCTGCAAGGCTGCGCTCAAGTCTGTAGTGTGGGATGACAAAGTGCCAGAATGAGTGTTGCGGGTAGTAATTGTATTGGAAGCTCAGAGAAGAGAGTGGGCATTAGGTTGTGCAGTAATTCTTCTTAAAGGAGGTGGCGCAGGCTGGAGGATTAGGTAAGATGTAAACAGGAACAGTGGGGTAGAAGGGAAGTCTTCTAGGCCTGCGGTCCCCAACCCCTGGGCCGCAGATTGGTATAGCTCTGTGGCCTGTTAGGAACCAGGCCGAACAGCAGGAAAATTGAAACCGGTCCGTGGGGCTAAAAAGGTTGACATGGGCGGCTTTTACTTCTGTCAGTTCAAATCCTTTCTGTGGGAGCCCACGTCCTTTCTACCTGCATGAAGGCATTCCTGCAGCCCTCAGTGACTCCTCTCCTCTGCATACCTGTCAGCTATAATCTGTCTGCTTATTTCTTATAGGCTGTTTTGGATTGTTAGTTTCAGCTCTACAAGTAGATTTTAAAGTCTTTGAGGGAAGAGGATGAATACTTGCATATCACTTCCAGATTTGCATGCCAGCATGAACTAAAAAGGGGAAGAAAGGCAATTTGGGAAAGAGTGAGGGTAATGCGGGTTTTCTTAGTAAATGGAGGAAAATTAAGAAGCTGGGATCAGATTACAGAAGACCTAGAAAGCAGACAAGGAAATTTGGTCTGTGTTTTTCTCAGTAAGATAATGGCTGTGAAAATTTTTGAGTGTTATGACTGAGGAGGTGGTTAGGGAAAGCTCTTAATTGGCAATGTAGAGAATGGGTCGGAGTGGGCAAGGCTGACTTTTTGTGCAGATGGGCTGTGTCAGATGATTTTGTGCTGACCCTGGAAGCGGAGAGGACAGGTGACAGAGACAGCGCCCGGCGTGATGCTTTGCGTAAATGGATGCTTCCTAAATACTCGTAGAGACAGTGTTGTATCTGGCACTGCACAAATCTTGAGTTGAATTGAAAAGAGCACTGCACTCAGAGAAAATCCGAAATCGAATCCTTACTTATGTTATTGCAGCCAGTTATTTTTAACTTTTTTGAGCTTCATCTGTATAACGCCTGCCTTATCTATCTCTCAGAGGTTTCTTTCCAAAGATCAAATTAATTAGTGATTTAAAAAATGTGAAGTGTTCTGTAAATGTTCAGGTTTATTGTTGATGCAGATAGAAATACGTATAGCAAAGTATAGATGAGGCTATGATGAGGCCACTGTGCTCCAGCTTGGTGATAGAGTGAGACCCTGTCTCTTAAAAAGAAAACAAAACAAAGGGACATTTATCAAATATGGAAAAGATTAACAATGAACTCTTCCTATTCCACAACACTGTACTTGGAACACTCTAGTGACTAAAATATGTATCTGCCAGATCAGTCTTTGTCTTACAAGTGCTGAATACACATGGATACATTTTATCTATTTATCTTCTCATGCACAGCCGCACTGCGTGTACTACTAGCACAGTTAAATATCTTTTTGGAATTGTCTTTCCTGAATCGAGTTAGTTTTGCAGATTGGTCCTTGGACTCTTCCACATCTTCATCAGCAACATATTTTCAAATCATCTTTTAGGACTACTAGATGGCTAACTCATCATCTATGCCTAGTAGGTTTTTGTAAGTGTAATTCTCAATGTGTAACTTTCATCTTAGCGTTTTAGAGCACCCTATCTCGAGTCCCTTATGTAACAAGGTAAAATAATACCATGATGTAGACCAGTCCCTTTTTAAATAACTAAATAAATCCTTATATTTTTAATAACTACATAAATCCTTATTCTATTCAGATTATACCTTTAGGATTTATTAAACTTTAATAAAACTTATTAAACTTTTATCCTATAATAAAATGTTAATGCTATTACCTGTCACCATGGTAGCGCAAAATAGTTTCTTAGGCCAAGTTTTGTCTTCATTTTGCTTCTTTCCTCACTAAACAGGCCTTTCCTGATAGCTGTGGCTAAACAGATATACTTAAAATGTTATTTTAAAAGGGATTAAGATGTATTTTCTTATGGAGAGTGGTGGCTTCCACTTAACGAATCATTTATGTTATAAAATTTGACGTATAGGTGGGTTTGGAAACTGGAAGGTATTTTCCCATGGGAACTGTCAGCTGTTTCAAGCAAAAGTGGTGTGCTGTCCGCAGACTAGTTTAATCCACAACTCGAACAGTCTCACTTTTTATACTGTGACATGCCACCGAATGCCTCTTAGAGCCAAATGGATGTCTTTGTTTATTTTAAACAGCTTTATTGAGATATGCATACCATACAATTCACCCCCTTAAAGTGAACAATTTAGTGGTTTTGGTTTTTATTTCATTTACCAAGCTGTGCAAACAGCACCATTATCTACTTTATGTCATTTTCGTCACCTATTAATCTATTCTCTGTCTCCAAGATTTAGGGTTTGCCTCTCTTGGACATTTCATATAAATGAACTCATACACTATGTGGTCTTCTGCGATTGGCTTCTTTTACTTAGCGTGTTTTTTAGGTTTATCTTAGAATGTTTGAGTTTAGCATATCTTAGCATGTTTTTGAGGTTTATCCATGTTGTGGCATTATGAGTACTTCATTCCTCTTTCTTTTTTTTCTGTCTTTCATTTCCTGAAGGGTTTTGCTCTGTTGCCCAGGCTAGAGTGCGGTGGCATCATCATGCTCACTGCAGCTTGGAACTCCTGGACTCAAGCGATCCTCCTGCCTCAGGCTCCTGAGTAGCTGGGACTACAGGTGCATGCCACCACGTCCTGCTAATTTTTCTCTTTTTAGTGGAGATGGGGTCTCACTATTTTGCTCACACCTTTTATGGCAGAATAATATTATATTCCATTGTATTGCATTTTGTTTTATCCATTCATCAGTTGATGGACATTTGGATTGTTTCTACTTTTTTGGCTTTATGAACAATGCTGCTTGTGTATAATAAGTCTTTGGGTGGACATGTGTTTTCATTTCTCTTAGGTAGATATCTAGGCATGGAACTTTGTTGGGTCATATGGTAATTCTGTGCTTCACATTTTGAGGAACTGTCAAACTGTTTTCAAAGCTGCTGTACCATTTTACATTCCCACCAGCAACTTTTGAGAGTTCCAGTTTCTTTGGCTTATTTTTTAAAGAACTCTCATTTACTGTAAAGAAAATGGTGGTAACTCTGGCTAATGGCAGGGTGCATACCCTGCCTGAAGGCATTCAAATTACAGTGAAAAAGCAAAACAAAACATAGTGTTGTCCAAACAAAACACTCTTGGCCAGATTCAGCCCTTGGCTACTGCCTTGGCACCCCGGGTTCTGGTCAACTACATTCTAGTGTACTTTTCTATTGAGCAGTACTTCCTTCTAAGGTTTTAAAAATTTTTGGGAAATCCTTAAAACATGTAATATACAAGAAGTTCTAAAACATGAAACCTTTCTGTACTTATCCCTCAGTGTCACTAGTCATCACCAATACAGTTTAAGCCTTTGTGAACTGCCTCCCTGTTTTAACCCTTTCTCTCCCCACCACAGTTCACCACTTTCCTGAATTGGGTTTTCAGTCTTTCCCTGGTATGTATTTATTACATTTTCCACTACTTATCTTTGCAATTGTGTTTGCACAATATTATGTGTACATGAATACTCTTTCCTAGTAAAAGGCCAGATGGGTGACTCAGAAAAGGTTGCCTGCTCTCATAAAGTATAATGCATGATTTTTAAAGACAGGAAAAGTGTTAAAAGAAGCCAGAAATAATATCACCAGCGTACGCTGGGGAGGAAAGCTTAAACTTGGTATTTTGTGAAATCCCTTGTTCCTTTTTTTTTTCTCCTAAAAAGCAAAAACAGAACAAAAGCCCCCACCCCCTCCTTGTTTGCCGTGAATTCCGAGCAAGCGCGAGGCGCAGTTTTAGTGCTGTTCCAGCTCTTTTCGGAGGCTGGGGAGCAGTGCTCAGAGGTGCTGCTGCTTTGAGCATCAGAACTTAAACCTGGAAGGACAGAGCTCCTCTATGTAAATTGCGCTTTTCGGTCCCTTGGTCAGTCCATTTCCTTTTTTAACTCTCTGTCTTCTGTGCCCCGGATGTCACGTGTGTGCGTGTGCACGTGTGTGTGTGTGTGTGTGTGTGTGTGTGTGTGTGTGTGTGCGCACTGATATGGTGTTAACTACATTAACCTGGAGTTTCTCCTCTGATTTTCTTTGTTACCCTCTCCCACCAAGTGTAAGATTTTAAGACCAGAACCTTCTGAAATTGAAAGCATTTGGAGGTTTGGGTGTCAAGATCTTCATTAGCCTGAACACTGATTTCCCTGGTGTTCTGTGAGCAGGTGGGGGGACTCTCCAGCATGGATGGAAGTGGCCGTAGATGGCACAAGCGGGCAGAGATTGTTCTTGTTTATGGTGCAGATACAGTGCTGCCCTCTCCTTCCCCCATGTGGTCATGTTTAACCTAATGATCATTAGACAGCATGAAGGTTACAGCTGCCGGTCTAATGAGACTGTCTGAGATGTTGATCTCAGCAACCAGTTAGTAAGGTCATTAAAATTCTTTTTGTTCCCTCTGATTGTGTTGTTAGACATCAGTTTAGTGAAGATCTTTAGGTAATTAATGAGTACCTAATATGAGCCCTTCTTTGGAGGTTCAGCGTACTCTCATCCCGGTAGATGCACAGATTGGAGCTTCTTAAAATAGATGCAGAATTAAGTGAGGCCGACCCATGTACGTGCACTTCTCTCACAGAAGACACCGGGTAACGCTACTGAGTGTAGCATTAGGGAAGGGCCTTATGCCAATAGTTTCTTTGAAATATATAAAGTCATTTTCAGACTAATTCCTTGTTAGTGGAAGGCATCATTAGGTCGTATTAGACATGACTTTTTAAAAATTTCTCTGTTGCTATACGGGTGCTAATTCAAATAAAGGTTTTAAATGAAGGAAGTCATGCAAAATGTAATGGTGGTATGCACAATAGACCTGTTTGTTCTCTCTGCTGTGAAATGACTTGAGCGAGGCTAATATTTCTGCCCAAATGGAATCTGCTCCTCTAGAGAATAGTATGTGGTACGTTTTAATTTCATAATGAGGCTCTTCCTCAGGGAGCCTGTCCATCCTAATTATGTTATGGTTTGGTGGGGAGAGCGTTCTGTGTGCTCAGAAGTTGTACGTGATTCCTCAAACCCTCCCTTGAAAAAAAAATACTATGATCGTTAAGTATATAAACCATTTACTACTTTTGAATATAGCTGTGAAAATGAATCAGGGAGACTCTTAAAATACATGAAATGTGTGGTTGAATGCATATCATTGCATAGTTAATAGAAGCAGATAGTCAAATTGCAGTAAATATAAATTTTGCAAAATTTTACCAGTGAAGTCTAGCAGGTTGCTAAAAGAAACTGTTTGCTTATTGGTAAACCTGTCTGAACAAAAATTATAATAGACTGCTACTACAGAATTTATGGTATTTTAGTTTTGTCATTGGATGTATAAATATTCATGTTTTTACTGCTTTTATTGGTACAGTAATAAGGAATAAACTTTAATTTTTTAATTTTTAAATTTTATCTTATTTTTTTAGAAATGAGGTCTTGCTATGTTGCGCAGGCTGGAGTGCAGTGGCCGTTTACAGGCATGATCATGGTGCACCACGGCCTTGAACTCCTGGGCTCAGGCAAGCCTCAGCCTCCGCCTCCTGAGTAGCTGGGACTATAGATGTGTGCCACCATGCCTGGCTCTGTTTTTATTTTATTTTATTTTTTGAGACAGAGTCTCATGCTGTCACCCAGGCTGGAGTGCAATGGCGTGATCGCAGCTCACTGTAACCTTGAACTCCTGGGCTCAAGTGATCCTTCCCCCTCACCTCCCATGTACGGGCACGCACCAAATGGGGCTAATCTTCTTTTTATTTTGGGGGGG